CACAATAATCACCTATAGAAAGCAATTTTCGGAATTGGGTGGTTGCCTCAAGCTGGATGTTGGGATCATCTGTCCAAACACTCTGGACCATTGATGGTAGATTTTCTAACTGCACCTACAATCAAAACAAACAAACAAGCAAACAAAAAATTCGAAAAAAGAAAGAAAAAAAACGTCAATGTTTCTATAATGTTAGGAAAATTGATAATATAGTTGTGGTTCTAATCACTGCTCTGATGATATATTCCAAACCACCGGCAGAAGCAAAGTTAATTCCAGAGAGATGCATCACATCCATATTGAGTTCAAAACACAGCAAAAAACAGAAAATATCACATCCATATTGAGTTCAAAACACAGCAAAAAACAGAAAATGAGAAAAGGGAGGCACTAATCAATCTTGCATTTGCTGTAAATCATTTGACTACTTGACGGAAAAAAAACAAAAAATAAAAATAAACATACATCCAATCCACACAGTCAATTGAACACCACAACCATAGCATAGCATCCATAAGGAAGATCAAAACTCCGTGAAAATTTCACTCAGGGGCCTAGTTTTAAATGTTAAATAACGAGCTTGTAGTTTAAGTTGAACGCTCATTTCATATAAAAATGTATTTACTATAAATATAAATATCTCTAGGTGTACCATCAAGTTTTTAAAAACTTAAAATTTGTATCACCTCGAACTTTCTTTTTTTTTTTTTAAAAAAAAAGAGATTTCAAGTATTTATAATTTAACTTCAACGTCTATAAGTTATGGAAATATAAGTTTTATGGTTGAAAATTTGATTTCAATTGAAATTTTGCAGCACATTGCATAACATTTTTGTTGATCAAAGATTACCAAATAAACATTTTTTAAGAAAAAATTAATAAAGTTAAAAATATGTGATTACACAAAAAGAAAAGTAAAAAAACAACATTAAAAAATGTAACAATTCAACTAAATACTCGGTTTTATTTTACTAAATCGATTTACAATTTAAGAAACCGAAAGAGTAAATCGTTATAAATAATTTCAAAAACTTATCTAAAAATGTAAAATATAAAGATTGTTAGTACATTTTTCAACAAATAAATAATATATTAATTAAAAATAAAATAACATAGAAAAATATGTTTTAACTATTAACATATTGTAAATATTTTTATGCATTTCTAGACATATATTACCGTGATTTTCTTTATATATAACTTTTACAAAAAATGACTATATATTGACTTTTAAAAAAATATGAGGGGCCCACGGCCCCCTGGGCCTTGTATGGCTCCATGCCTGGGACCGACCATCCAATTCCACACATAATAGGGAAAGCAAATAAACCAATTATGCATTCATAATCATACGCCTACCTTTTTCTCGATGCCGGTGGTGGCTTCGACAGGAACAGAAAACTGCTGGACACCCTCACGGCGGTTCTTCTGGAGATTCTCCTCACGGCGGTTCTTCCGAATCTCGACCATGTTGTCCTCCCTCCGCCGCCGCTCCTCGTCGTCCACGGCCACCTTGTAGGGGTTGCCGCCGACCTCGGCGCGAGAATTGGGTCTCAGCGTAAGCCCTTCGAAAATCGCTGAGAGAGGAAACATTTGAAATCGGAAATAATGGGAGGGGCGGAGTGTGAAGTGAAGAGCGAGGGTTTTATTCAAGGTTTCCTTATGTGCGACACTATATACAGATGTTAAAACGGAAGAGCCCTGACGGTTTTGGACTATCTCTAGCTTCAGGTTAAACAGTCCTCCTGGCCTAAAAAGTCCAAATTTAAACATAAAAGAACATATTTACACTTAATTAGTATATTATCTAATTAATATCATTTATATTACACCATATACTATCTAATTAATATATTTTATATTACATATTTACACTTAATTAATATTTATTTGCAAATATACAAAATCACCCCAACATATACTATCTAATTAATATACTATCTAATTAATATATTTTATATTACATATTTACACTTAATTAATTAATATTTATTTGCAAATATACAAAATCACCCCAACATAATTACATTGTTAGTATCAAAAATACTTTATAATTGAAATTGTAGAAGAATTTTTTTTTTTTGGAATAGTAATTGTAGAAGAATTGAAATTTGTTGAACAAGAGATGATGAGAATAAATATTTTATATCTATATAAATATAATAAGAATTACTACCTCAAATTTTTAATATATGTCATTTTGAAAAGTTGCACAGTAATTAAGAATATTTTTTTGTCAATAATAACCTTATTTAATGAAGATAGAGATGAATGTTTTGAGAAAAAGTAAAGAATGAATATGAAAAGACGTAATGTGTTTATTGGCTAAATTAGGATAATAATGAAAAAATATGTACAAAAGATCCAAAACGACATTTATTTAACAAATAGTTGAAAAAGCTAGAATGACATTTAAAAAAATAGGAGGGAGTACCATTTTCCAAAAATAGTAAGTCAAATCTTGGTCAAGCTATTCTATCATTAATTATATTCCATTTATGGCAACTTTTTTTTTTTTTTAAGAAAAACAATAGCCATAAATTGCGGGGTATTGTTTCATGAGATTTTGAAGTGTGCATTATATATATGGTAACAGAATTTCTGAAATCTCGGTTTCTATATAATATTTGATATATCAATTGACTAAAAATTTAAGTATTTATACTTTATAAAAAAATTAAAGTAAATGATATCATATGCAATAAATAGATGAAATGACGGAAAGTAAATTTAAATCACCATTCACACCCATACATCTATCCATAAATAGTATTAATAGTTTAACATAATTTGGTATCCAGATTTATTAATTTAATTTAAGAAAATGTTACAAGTATATAATAAATGTACATAACACTCATATAGGGATCCATATGATTTTTTATTTTTGTAGGTCTCACTTATGAGGGTTATATACAATTATATATATATATATATATATATATAGGGAGGATCCAATGAGTACACTCCTTAAAATGAGTACAATCCTTAAAATGAGTCCACTCCTCAAAATATATATTAACTAAATAATAAAATAATTATTAGTTGACTCCGGCGTTGACCGTTGACTTCCGGCGAAAAATCGTTGACTTTCGACGTTGACCGTTGACTTCCGGCGTTGACCCGTTGACCCCTAGTATGCATCATATG